CTTCTCATAATCTGTTTCCCTGAAACATGTAGAAAATACAAAATGTCTGAAAACTTACTTCTTGGTAAAAAAAAAAAAAAAATCTTTGAATATTTCCTACATTCCCTATAGACAGAAAGTACAATATTCTTAATTCTAAACAAGTATCTGTCTCCTGTATGTTAACACATTATATTGTGGCTTGGACAACAAAAATGACCTACAACCAAAACTAGTCACTTCACACTGCACAGACATCGTAAGAGTTTGTAAGGGTTGAAAGAATAACCTCCATCAGGTCCAGGTGGAGACCAGGCGTCCGAGTGTGTCTATAATTGAGCAAAGTTAACTGAATGAGGAAGGACTTAGGCAGGTGGGTTTTACTGCAGTTTTTTCTCTGTTGTCAGATACTTTCATTTGCGTTCCACAAACCTTGAAGGCCCTGTGTGATTTGTAGGAGCTGGGAAGACTGTCTTGGAGATGGAGCTGTCTGAGTCTGTTTTCCTGAGGTCAGAGCATGTGGGGTGAAGACTGTGATACTGTTATACTCTCTGTAAACTTTGTTCTGTAGACTTTGCGAGCCCAAAGACCCAAAACTCACACTTTGGATGAGATTAAAGATGTACAGAAGCCTGCTCTCCACCTGCACACCATGGGAGTTGTTTCTGATTAAAGATGACAGTACAGTCTCTGCATCAACAACTGGAAATGGTGGCTCTCTGCTATGATGCAGACGCAGCCTCACTGTAGTAAACTTCACCTCTGTCTTTCTTGGCCTGGAGCCAAGGATGACCAAAGTTTCTGTGCTCTATGAGTGGCAATTGCCCTCACTTTTCAGTACGTCTAGATATTTATGTGTTGGCTTTTCAAAAACACATCTTATGCCAAGCAGAGAATGAAGGATCCGTAATAAAGGAAAATTAAAAAGAATAGAAAAAATTAAATAATTTTAAGCTCACTGGAACAGTCATGAGATGAAATTATAAAGTTTAGCAAAGCTCTAGAGGCTATGATAACTTGTTAATAACTTATTTGGGCAGAACTTATTTATCTTTAGTATTCTTGACTTGGAAAACAGCAACATCCAAGCCCAGAGACTGTTTGGCTCTCTCATATTCTGGAATTCCAGGAGCCCTCAGTGAAATCTGTAATCAGTTATGAGAATCTACATTAAGCTACTATCCCAGGATAGTAATATCCTGTAATAAATTATCTAAGGAAAAATAGAGAGAAAAGTTTATTGAGCAAATGGAAAAATTAAAGTAAATGTTTGCTTGTTAACAATATTGTTGAATGCACCGCTAAACAAGAATAGCATTTTTTATCTAGCTTTGTGTTTCAATGTTCACTAAAAGTAATTTGCCATGTAATCAAACTACAGTCTTAAATGTGGTCATTATAATAGTTCTATTAACTTTATAACTCATAGAGAAAAAACTAGACTTGATGAAAAACTTGTTATGGAATTTGTCCCAAGGTTAAAGTTTCAAGTTTTCAGAGAAAGAAAGATATTGCTATCTGTCTATCTATCTACCTACCTACCTATCTATTGAATTTCTATTCCTGTCTCTATCTCTGTATCAGAGGAAAGATAAAGAGGCACAGTTTGATTAATCATCATCATAGCATTAAAATTTTCAGGGGCCCACCCAGTAGCGTAGTAGTTGAGTTCGCATGCTCCACCTAGGCAGCCCGGGGTTTGCCGGTTTGGATTCCGGGTGTGGACCTAGCACCACTCATCAAGCCAGGCTGTGGCGGTATACCACATAAAAAAATAAAGGAAGATTGGCACAGATGTCAGCTAGGGGCCAATCTTCCTCAGAAAAAAAAATCTTTAATGAGAGAGGCAAATATAGAAAACTTTGGATGAAAAGATGAAACAGGATAAATGCATCTATTGAGAATTTGACTTGCATGCCCCCCGGTGTGCTATTGACAAAAGCACCAGATCAAAGTAGTACAAAAATAACACTTTCACGTTTTAGAATGTCCAAACTAAGCACCAATCTAGAGACTGCGTCAAGATAACCAAAATTAACTAAAAGTAACCCAAGAGCTCATTCTGGGTTGTCTGGTAATGTTGTGGCTGTGGTCTGGCTGCTGAATTCCCTAAGATTGAAGCGCTATACAGCTTGATGTTCTTGGCACACCCCTCTACATCTGACATCAAATCGAATCAAATATTTTACCTCAATGACAAGAGACCTCTCACGTATGCCCCATAAATAGCATGGGGAGGAGGGGAGTGTACATTCCCTACGAGTGTGTTTAACGTGTCTTTTTTTCTTTAAAAGAAAGAATCACCTGACAGGCCCCTTTGACTTCTGAAGACAACACATTCCACATCTAGGAGTCCTGGTCTGGCCTTTGGACCAGGTGACATGAAAATCTGCCAGCTTTGCTGGGACCCTGAGCGGCAAAGGGCTCTGAACCAGGTGCAGCCTGCAGGGCAAGCAGCCCTGTCTCTAGGGATCGTGAGGACATCAAAGACTTGAAAAATTCCATCAACCATGTCGACATCTTTGACACTTAAAGGAAATCAACCAAATGCAGAAACATACATATTTCTTTCAAAACACTTGCTAAGAGAGGCGGGCCCCCTGGCCGAGTGGTTATTAAGTTCTCCCGCTCTGCTTTGGTGGCCCAGGGTTTTGCGGGTTCGGATGCTGGACACGGACATGGCACCACTCATCAGGCCATGCTGAGGTAGTGTTCTACATAGCGCAACCAGCAGGACCACAACTGCAATATACAACTAGGTGCTGGGGGGCTTTGGGGAGAAAAAGAAGAAGAAAAAAAGATTGGCAACAGATGGTAGCTCAGGTGCAAATCTTAAAAAAATAAAAAAATAAATAAAAAATTTAAAAAACACTTGCTAAGATAGGTCATATTGTGAGCCACAAGATATGTCAACAAAATTAAATGGATTCACGTCACACAAAGCACTTCTCTGAAAACAAGGGAATTATATTAGAAATCAGTAACAAAAAGTTATCAAAAAAATAGCCAAATATTTAGAACCTAATAACACACTGCCAAGTAAAACTTGGGTCAAAAAAGAAATAAAATGGGAAATTGGAAAGCATTTTGAATACAAAGAATATATGACATATCAAAATTTGTGGGATGCAAGAAAGTAATGAATATATAGTCTTGCATTTACACCCTGAAAAGGTACTCTAGCAAAGATATTTTGAAATCAATTTGCATCTCCACATACTAGGAAAAGAAGAACAAAATAAAACAAACAGGGCTTTGCATTCACGGAAATGTGGGAATATGATGAACACGTTTAGATTTCCATCATTAGAATCAGTCCATAAGTAAAAAAAGGTTCATCAGCATCTTCACAAAGGAAAAGTCTGAAAGTGGAAAGACAGACTGAGCACCTGCTCAGAGAGAATTCAGTGACAAGGAAGTCAAATATTAGACAATATTATTATGATGCTGTACATATAATAGACTCCACTGAGCTCTGATTTGCTCACAAGCCAAACATCATACACAGCAGGAAGCTTTCCATTCTGCTGATGGTTAGTGAGGGTGGTGATCACTGGACAAAGGCATGAAGCAGGGCCCTGAAGGCAGCAGGTGATGTCAGGACCTCACTAAGGTCTCTTCCAAGTGACATGACTGAGCTTCCATATGGCCATGAAGTCAGCAGGGAACCTGAGTGGTTGCTCCAGGGAGCACACAGCCACGGGTCCCTGGATGGTCTGTGAGGCATGAGAGACCTAAATGGGGAAGAAGAAAGAGTTTCTGGGAGGCTGTCCTGACAATGCCTTGGCCCCTGATTACCCAGAATTGGTGTCTGGAGGCTGTGACTGAGGCCTCCATTGCCTCCTCCTCAAGGCTCTACAGCAATTTCCACCTGAGCTCAGCCTGGTATCATCTTGTCCTCTGGTCAGTACAGCTGTTCCTGGCACTCTGAGAGGCTGAGTCTCCTTGGAGGTTTGTGTTTGGGGCCATCACAGTGCAGGGTCCAGTGAGGGTCCTGCCCACAGGAGTACGTGTACCATTTCTAGCCTCCACTCCAGTAATTACGGTGATGAAACTTTCCCAGACCCACAGCCACTGAACTGGGTGGGTGCCCAGGGATTAGGGCTGAAATGTTATGTAAGAGGAATTGAGGTGGTTGCCCTGGTATCTTTTGGAAACACCGGTGGCCATGTGTCCACTGCAGGGTAGAAGGGTCTCCCTGGACTTGCACATCATGGTGCCATTTTCTCCTGAAGGTGCAGAGATGGAAGCTGGCGACTGGGTCAGTAGAACATGGTCACTGGTTTGCAAATCCAATAAGGAGGCAGAAAGGTTTACAGCTATTTTTCTAACTGAAAAAGTCTTATGCAAACACTAAAAAGCCTCAAATATCATCCTACAAATGTATATTAAACTGAATTTTTAAAATTTAATTATTGCTCTTAAATCAACAACCTACTTTTATACCTTAAAGACGTAGAAAAAGATGAACAGACTAAACCCAAAACTAGGAAAAGGAAGGAAATCATAAATATTATAGCAGATATTAATAAAATAGAGAATTTTAAGAGTAGAGAAAATCAATGACACCAAAAGTTGGTTCTTTGAAAAAGTCAACAAAATTTACAAACCTTTACCTTGACAGACTAAGAAAAAAGAGAGAAGACTCAAATTACTAAAATCAGAAATGAAATTTGGGATATTACTAGTGATTTTACGGAAATAAATGGATTATAAAAGAGTACTATGAACAATTCTATACCAACACACTAAATAACCTAGGTGAAATGAACAGAATCCTAGAAACACATAACCTAACAGGAATGAACAACGAAGAAACAGAAGAACAGATAACAGCTATAGCTAGTATAGAGATTGAACCAAAAACCTCTCAACAGGAAAAGTCCTGGTCCAGATGGCTTCAATGGTGAATTCCAGCAAACATTTAAAAAATTACATTAACAACAATATTTCCAAAAATCTTACAAAAAATTTAAGAGTAAGGAACACTTACTAATTCATTCAATGAGGCCAGCATTACCCTGATACCAAAGCCAGACACAGATACTGCAAGGAAAGAAAACTACAGACCAATATCCCTCATCAATTTAGATCCTAAAATCCTCAGGAAAATACTAGCAAACTGAATTCCACAACAATAAGAGGATTATACAGCAACGTCAAGTGAAAGTTATTGCCGGAATGTAAATTTGCTTATGTATACATAAAATCTAGTGCCACCTGTATTCTTCCAGGTCTATACGGAATAAATTCTACGATCCACAGTTTATGCTTTTTGTTTTTGAAACCCAACTTTTGGAATTTCAGGAGCTTACGTTTTCTTTCAGAGATAGGTAATTGAGGTGAATCAAGACTTTCAGTATGAGGATTTTTCATCTGCTATGAATCACAAAAATTTCATTGGGAGCTTAAATACCAAGATTTTTACTAATTGTTTCCAGCTATACTCTCCCTGAGGATATTTTGTGGACAGTGCTATCCAGACTATCTTTATTGAGTGGAGAGATAAGTAATAAAAAGGAGAAGTAAGTTGAGAAAGTGGGAAGGTACCAATTTCTGAATATTACTAAATATGCTCGTAAATCTACATCGAAACTGCTAAATCTCAACATGTATTCTGTTTGCACTGCCACTAATCTGGCTCAATTCTCCGGCTATGCTAAGTTTAATTTATAACTGTACACAGGGCAAGGAGGGTTAGCATGAACTTTTAAGCTCTCCTGTTCATCATGAATAGTGACTCAGAGCTCATGGTCCATTCTCCATTCTTCCTGCTGCTTATGTCATGCCAAGGCTTGTTGTGGCTGACAGGGCCATAAATGAGTGGCACCTGAGGTGTAGTCAAGGCACTTAGGGGACAGGTCCTTCCACAGTGACCAATTCCCCTGAATTCTCCGACATCTCCTCTTATACAGACTCTGCCTTGCCTACTCCCCAGACAAACAACACATCTGAGCAGCTGGGCTACACCATGCAAGGAGGTTTATGTTCAGGCCTGTACCACTGTGGGAGGTCTTTGTGAACCTTGCATGCAGTAATAAACTCCAACATCCTCAGCCTCCACTCTGCTGATTTGAAGGGTGAAATCTGTCCCTGACCCACTGCCACTGAACCTGTCTGAGACTCCAGAGACCAGCTTGGAAACCTCATAGATCAGCAGCCGTGGAGACTGGCCTGGTTTCTGCAGGTACCAATCCAAATAGGTGTAGTCATCACTACGGAGGAGGCTCTGACTAGACCTGCAGGAGATGGAAACTGGCTCTCCCAAGGTGACGGCCAAGCAGAGGGGAGTCTGGGTCATCACAATATCTCCACTGGATCCTAAAATAATGAGAGAAGGGTACAAGGTCAGGTACAAACATTGCAAGCAATTTTCATAATTTTCTTTTTGCTATTTATTTCACGCAAAATTATGTTTTGTGTAATTTTGATTTATACCCCAAAACTATCCAATTTCAAAAAACCTCTGAGATTTCAAGTCACTGGCAGTCTTTAGAAGTCAACTACACAGTCCCCCGTTTTCTGTCAGTCTCTACATTTTTCCCTCTGGCATTTTCCTCACTCTCATGGCTCTAAATATCTCATGTCCTGAAGAGCAGGATATATCGATCTAATATGCAGAAACAATTTACGTGGGAAGCTTTTGTGCCTCCAGAGCTCATCCTCCTCACCTCATTCTCCTTTCTCCTCTCCCCTCTACCCTCACCTGGGATCCAGAGCATTAGTAGCCCCAGGAGCTGAGCAGGGAACCTCATTTTGAGAAGTTGAACTGATGAGTCCTGATAAGACTAGAGCTGACCTTTTATCTCAGACTCACAAGGGAAGATCCTCCCTAGGGAACAATATGCAAATCCTCTGGTGGGTGCAGCAGTGTGGAGACAGCCAAGAGCCTGGGGGCCTCTCCTGTGTTCAAAATGACATAAAATATGCTCAATGTTTGGAGTGAAAACAATGGAGATAAAATCTACGCTGCCTAAGGGGGAAAAGGGGCATATTACATGTTTCCTTCTGTTTCCTCTATCACATTACTGGTTCTACAGCACTTTTCCAGGTGTATTTTACACTTCTTTTTAACAAGGTTGAGCTGTTTCCATAAATATAGGGTGCTTCTTATTTGTTTGTTTGTGCTTGTTTAAGAGCCTAGGTTTGGTCTTTTTAATATTTTAATTGGGATAAAACACAGTATGAAAGGATACATCTTAAATGTGCAACTGAGTAAAGTTTTGTTTATTCACTATCCGAATATAAACCTAGTATATTTCAAATTCTTAACGTCTCCCTCATGCATTTTCCCTGTCAATAACTGCTCCACCTTTCACAACCAAGGCAACTGTTATCCTGATCTATCGCAATAGTTTGCTTTTTCCTGGATTTCGACATCAAATAAATTGAAGTGGGTTTTTTTTTTGTTTCTAGCTCCTTTCTTGTTTCTTTGCTATTTTTGAGGCCTCTCTTCCTTCCTGTGTATTTGAATTACTGTTTGTCATCCTTTCCTGTGATTTTGAATGTTTTCCTCTTGAATTTCTTATAGGGCATATCTTCTAGTAATGACTTGTCTTCATTTTTGTTTATCAAGGACTGTCTTTACTTGCTTTTATTTCTTAAAGATAGTTTCATGGATATATAATTCTCGGTTGACTTTTTTGTTTTCTTTTAGCACTTTAAACATATCATCCCACTGTGTTCTAGTCTCCGTTGGCCATAATCAAAAATTTAATCAGTGGCTTTAATATTTCTTTGTATATAATAAGTCTTTTTTTTAATGTAGTCAAGGTTTTCTCTTTGTCATTATCTTTCAGCATTTTAACTGTAATGTGTGTAGTTATGTATTTCTTTATGCTTATCATGAATGAGTTTCACTGAGTTTCTTTGATCTATAGACTAATGTATTTCATTACATTTGAAAAGCTTTTCCTATTATTTCTCCAAATATGATTCAGTCCTTTCTCTCTCTTCTCCTTTGTCTCTCTCCTTACACAAATGTTGGTATTCTTCACATTGATCTGTAAATATCTGAGGCCTTGTTCATTTTTTCTTCAATATTTTTTCTTTCAAGTAAGATAATTTCTATTTATCTATCTTTATGTACATTGATTCTTGTTTACGTCATCTCAAGCTACTGTTTGAACTATCTAGTGAATTATTCAATTGCCTTATTGCACTTCTCAGTCCTAAAATTCACATTTGATCTTTTTTCATGCTTTTTATCTCTCTATTCAGGGTCTCTGTTTATTTAGTCATTGTCTTCATAGTTTCCTTTTTAAGTCTTTGAGCATAGTTTTTGTTTTCTTTTTTTTCAATTTTTTGAGCATCATTATAATAGCTGCCTTGAAGTATTTGTTACTAAATTCAGTATTTAGGATCAATCAGAGTCAGCTTCCGTAGATTGTTTATTGTTTTTTCCCCTTCCATATGGGTCACACTTTTCTATTTCTTTTCAAGAGTGGTTGATTAAAAACTGAACACTTTAGGTAATATAGTCTTGAACCTCTGAATTCTGCTTTATTTTTCTGAAGATTGCTGGGTTTCTGTTTAGTAAGTCGCCTAAGCTTATATTGCAGAATCTATCTACCACTTGGTGTTGAACATTGATGTCTCTGTTCTTTTTTAATTCTTCTTATTTTTTATTTTTAGCTTTGAATTCTAGGAACTGCCCCTGGATCTGTACATCTTAGTTGCCACCAATGATTTGGGCAGTAGTTTTGCTCAAACACCTGGAGCCCGTAAAGCTTGTATCTTCTGCCAAGGCCTCTGTGTGGTTACAGGAGGGTGGTCAAGGTGCAGTCAGTTCTTAACTTCCTTCATTTTTACTTTATATTGGTCATTCTTGGCATTCTCCCATTCATACCTACAGCTTCTAAGTCAGCCGGCAGTGGGTAGAGACATTAACTCAAAAATTTTATGGCTCTATTATTTCTAAGATTTCACCATTAACTTTATGACTGGACTATACTTGCCCCAACTGTGACCATCATCTTTGGCTCTTAAAGCTGTGAGTTTTCCCTCTTTGTTTCCTACAGAGTTCGTCCCATTTAATTGGAAACATTGATGAATCTCGCTTCACCCCAAAATCAAGTTCACTCCCTTTGGCAGCTAGTTACTAGTTTTTGCTGTCACCCTTTGTTGGTAAAACTACAGTTCTTCATGACTGAGCTGGAAGTATAAGGGAGCCATCTTAGGCAAAAGGACACAGACTCTCCTGTCCTTACACAAAATTCTAGTACTTTTCAAGATTAAAAATTTTTCAATTGTTTTATGCCTTTGGCAAATTCTGGGTCTTTGAAGTAGTTGCTTTTGATAATGTTTTCAAATTATGGTTTGTTTGTTTGAGAGGATTAACCAAACTCTTCATGCACCATATCCAGAAATACATTCTGAGCCAAATTTAAATGAAAATAACAGACACAGTGAAAGGGGATGAGAACCTGAATTAACACAAGTAACTTTTGAGTAGAGAATTCGGATTCTACACCCAAAGGATACAGAGAAACAGAACTCTAAACAAATATCGATCTCTAGTCACCAGATTTCATATTCTCAGAGTTAATGCACTAGACATTTTCAAAACACGTTATGCGTATTCTAAGATTGAGCAGATAAGTGAATATACTGTGGATAATGGGAGCCAGGATTGTCACTACCTGGGATGAAAATTATAAATAGGTAAAGAAGGGAAAATAGAAAAACACTTGTTGAATTCTTCAATAAGAACTCATACTCTTAATTTATTTTTATTTATATATTTTAATTTATTTTGAAATAATTTCAGACTTACAGTTTAAAAAAGTATAAAGATTATTCCTATAGAGTCTATTTTTGTTTCTCTCTCTCTACCAAAGGAAAGACAGGGAGGAAAAGTTTGATTAACCATCATCATAACATTCAAACCTTCAATGAGATAGACAAATATAGCGAACTTTGCATGAAAACATGAAACAGGATAAATACGTCTATTGAGAATTTGACTTGAGCCCCCAAGGTGCGCTATAGACAAAAGCACCAGATTGAAGTAGATACAGAAATAGCACTTTCAAATTTTAGAATGTCCTAACTAAGCACTAGTCTAGAGATTGTATCAAGACAAACAAAATCATCTAAAAGTGAACATGAGAGCTCTTTCTGGATTGTCTGATAACATTGTAGCTGTGGTCTGGTCGCTGAATTCCCCAAGAGGGAAGTGCTATGCAGCTTGAATTTCTGGTAACTCCTCTCTACATCTGACATCAAATCAAATGAAATATTTTCCCTCGATGACAAGAGAGCTCTCACAAGTGACCCATAAATAGGTTGGGGTGGGGAGGGGTGGTATACATTCCATTCCAGTGTGTTTAATGGGTGTTCTTTCTTTAAAGGAAGGAATCACCTGACAGGCCCCTTTGCCTTCTGAAGATAACGCATGCCACGTGTAAGAGTCCTGGTCTGGCCTTTGGACCAGGTGACGTGGGAATCTGGCAGGTTTGATGGGACCCAAAGAGGCAAAGGGCTCTGTACCAGGTGCAGCCTGCAGTGCCAGCAGCTCCGTCTCTCAGCGCCATGAGGACATAGAAGACTTGAAAAATGCCATCAACCATGTCAACATCTTTGACACTTAGAGAAAATCAACCAAATGCAGAAACATACATATTTCTTTCAAAACATTTGCTAAGATAGACCATATGGTGTGCCACAAGATAGGTCAATAAAATTAAATGGATTCAAATCATACAAAGTACATTCTCTGAAAACAAGGGAATTATATTAGAAATCAATAACAGAAAGTTATTAGAAAAGATCCCCAAATATTTAGAAATTAAATAACATACTGCCAAGTAAAACTTTGGTCACAGAAGAAATAAAATGGAATATCAGAAAGCATTTTTCAAGTACATGACATACTAAAATTTGTGAGATGCAAGAAAGCAATGAATATATAGTCCTGAATTTACACCACTAAAAATGTCTACTAGCAAAAAAGCTCTGAAATAATGAAACCAGCTTTCATCTCCGCATACTAGTAAGAGAAGAAAAAAATAAGACAGTGCTTTGCATTCATAGAAATGTGAGAATGTGATGAACACACATGTTTAGACTTCTAGCATTGGAATCAATCTCTAAGAAAAATAAATGTCTGTTAACATCTTCACAAGAGAAAAGTTTGCGAGTGGAAGGTCACATTGAGCAACTGCCAAGACAGAATTCAGTGACAAGGAAGTCAAATATTAGGCAATATTATTATGGTGCTTCCTGTACATGAAACTCTTGTTTGCTTTGACTTGCTCAAAAGCCAAACATCGTACAGTGCAGTCAGCTCTCCATTCTTCTGAAGGTTAGAGAGAGTGGTGATCACTGGGCAAAGGCATGAAGCAGGACCCTAAGGGATTAAGTGGCAGCAAATGATGTCAGGACCTCACTAGAGTCTCCTCCCAATGACATGACTGAGCTTCCATATGGCCATGAGGTCAGCAGAGAACCTGAGTGGGTGCTCCAGGGAGGACCTGGCTGCCATTCCCTGGAGTGTGTGGGGGGCTGAGCATCCTATGTGGGGAGGAAGAAGGAGGTTTTGGGAGGCTGTCCTGGAGATGCCCTGGCCTCTGTTTACCTAGAAGAGTTGTCCAGTGGCTGCGACTGAGGCTTCCATGGTCTCTTCCTTAAGGCTCTACAGCCATTTCCACCTGAGCCCAGCCTGGTATCATCTTGTCCTCTGGTAACCACAGCTGCTCCTGCTGCCCTGAGAGGCTGAGCCTCCTTGGGAAGTTTGTGTTTGGGGCCTTCACACTGCAGGGTCCAGTGAGTGTCCTGCCCACAGGAGT